ATCACGCCACCTACACTGCAGCTGTCACAACACTTGCCGCTGTCCTCGAACGAAATTCCGATACACTTTAGGTGGAAAAGACCATTGCATGCTTGACACGAAGCTTCACCTTGGTTCCTTCGGATTGTCTTAAGACAAACTGAACACGAAGGACGCTTAGTGTGGTTTACCGGACCAGGGTTTAGAGATATATCACCCGCTTGTAACAGAATTCCGGCGGCGACAAAATAGTTCACCAGTGTCATTAACTGTCCAGGGTTGCCAAATTTGAAAGTAGTTCTAAGGTCTCGCTTTTTTCCACGAGGAAAGCCTTCCAGCCGAATCGAGATTTCTCTTGCTTTCACGTCTCCCGAAACGGCCATATAACTTGGCTCAAATGAAGCGAAGCTGACAAAATGGCTCGTCGAAGAATTTGCACCATGGTTGTGAGCGAGGGATAACTTTTGAGGGCGAAATTTGAACAGCGCCGACTGATCGACAAGGAAAACCACAAACCACAGCAAAGCATGACCAGATGCCATGATATGCTAATGGGTGAATACAGTATACAGTCTTAACATAAATCATAACCATTACAATATCCTACAGTATGATTGGTGGATGAACGGCTTGATTTTTCACTGATTACTCAGTAACAACAACACCAAAAAAAACCCGGAAATTAAAAACAAAAAGAAAAAACAAGCAAAAGCAAAATCACTGACAGAAAAAGAAAGGCGATTACTGAATTAAGATCTGGAAACGTTTCATGGCAGATGAACAAGTTTAAAGCGTGTAAATTTGTCTCTTGCTTGTCATCGCGTGTTGTTGTTCAACACAGGCTTTGTCTGACTTTCCTTTAGACACCCAAGGTCAAAATTTCAGCTTAGCTTAGACAAAGCTGAATATCAATCTTCTAATTTCCATACAATAAGCATGCATCTCATGAAACATACATTTAAGCCTGGTTGTTTTGCATATCACGCCTTTAGCGTTGGCTTAGCCTGGAAGCCTTGACTCAAACGTGTCAGAGACATTTCATAAAAAGTATAGTATAGGAATCTGTCGTCGTCTGTCCAATCCAAGGGTGTTGTCTTTAGGACAGTTTTGATTGGGGCCGATGTCCAAGTGGATTGGACCCCCAAAATCTGGACCGTCTGGTCCATTTTGGACTCCTAAGTGTACAATGTGTTTTTATGATATATACCTTGACGATTTAATGCTTCGGTTTGCTGTTCAGCTTGTAAATCGATGATACACAAAAAAATTATTTATCTATGAAAATCACAATGAAGCGTTGTGTTGTAGCGAAAGTTGTGTTGTTTAGATTCTAGTATTTTATACTCAATATCCAAGTTAACGAGTGCAGTCGGTTAAACTGAAGTTTAAAACTTAACAGTGATACTTAATCAAATTCAAAGAATGGAAAAAGCAGTAATGTATTCACTGGGAAACTAAAACCAGCTGCACTCTAGTAGCCTGAGCCATTCACAACATTTCAATGAGCGCACATATGTGAGAGCTTATCCAAATGAATAATGAAATTAATGTGCGCACGCTTTGCACGGGAGTTAAGACGAACGAGCCAATGACAAGGGAGCGATCTCACGACTTTTGTCAGACACGTCTGTTAACGCGTCGGGTAGTATTCTCTATTTGTACGAGCGCATGAACGCCCGAAGATGCAATATTAGTTTTTTGAGTCACACGTTATGGGTAGGAGAGAAAAGGAAAATAGAAAGAGGAAGGCTGCAGCTAAATCTTGCCAGTCTCTCGATACATGGGTCAGTAAAGTACCCCGTCAAGAGCCATCAGACGCTGACAATGACAGTGCAGTCTGCGATGACAGCCCAGCTGAAAGCACGACTTCAGATCTATCTCAGTTAACCACAGTTTTACAGCAAGATATAGAAGGTAAATCATACTTATTTTCGCAATGTCCACCAGTCTTGATCCCATTATTATGCGCAGAGATTTAGTCGCTATTCCTCGATATGAAACAAACTCGCTTAATAAAAAGCCAGTGAGGAAACACAGAGTAACAATTCGGAGAGGGACTGGAGGAGGGATCTAAAGCAGCAATCCACAGGCGTCCCAAACCATAAAATAGAAGTTTTCGAGACACGAAGACGGAAAATACATTTTATGTTTCTCTTCGAAAGCTCCAGTACCTGAGAATACTGATGACAATCTAACGCGGCATCACTTAGAACCAA